TTTCTTATTATATGGATGATGGAAAGAGTGTGGACCAAGTGCACAAAAATTTTCAACAATCTTTTGATAAAGATGCCACACAGATTGGCTAAACAATATCAATTTTTGGCAGGGTAAGGGTCTTCTTCAATTAAAACAGCTTTGTTTTTCCAATGAGATGGTTGGCCTTTGGAATTGGTTGCTTTGAGATGTGATGGATGCAGTTAATTTAAGGGAAATATTAATAAATATCCGAGTTATAAGGGCTGGCTTTGAGTGTTTTATTTTTAAGTTTAGATTAGTTGATAGGACAGCCTAGATGTATCAACAGATCATTTGTTGTCATTGGCAAGTAGGGCAAATTATTTTTAATTGTATTTAGTGTAATGTCATGGATTTGTTTATACCAACTGGATCACAAGTTTAATATAAACTGAAGCCCACTCAATATACTGATGAAATAGATCTTGATAACACTTTGAATGAATTACTTGAGGTATTAAAGTAGTACTCTGTGTAAAGTTTCAGTCATACTTACAAAAGGATATTGAACAGCTGGAAAGGATTCAAAGTAGGGCTACAAGATGATTCTGGGGATTAAATGGTTATCTTAGAGAGATAAATTAAGAGATTGTAATCTAAAAAAAGAAGGGTAAAAGGTGATCTTATTGAATATTACTTCATTATGCAGAGGGATTGACAGTATGAAAGTCATTTCTTTGTGATGTATTCTGTAAACAACAGAATAAGACGATACAAGTTTAAGATCTTGAAAACACAGACTTGACTCTATTTAAGACACTTATCTTTCTAACAGAGTTGCCATTAACAGTAGTAGAGGCTGGCACTTTGGAAGAGTTTAAAAGGGAAATCAACAATTTCCTTGAAAATAAAGGGTTGGTTTAAATTTTCTCTTTTCTTAAGGATAAATGTGCAAGGAAAGCCTTTAAATACAAAATGGTTCCTTGTTGTCCTATTCTCCTACTGCTATTGTTTGATTTACAAATTCCATTGTATTGAGCAACTTTCCTTTTCAACTGGTACAACACACATGGACAAAACATATTGAAATCATCCATTTCCTATGTAAAATACAAAAAGGACAATAGCAGTAGTTAGTGAAATCAACTGCAATATCACAATGTATCTTTGGTTTAAATTTGTTTGGTGACTCATATGTTATGAAGAATCCTGTAACCAACAGCATCATGGATCTACAAGTACTTTGGTACATAAATATTTTAGAAAATTGTTTAAAAACCTGATGGGATATCACTGTCAGTAATTCTATGATAAATCTAAATCTTGGCATTATAATAACCTAACTACTAATCATTGTACATTTTCATTACTCAAAATGTCCCACTGATATTGTGAAACGCAGACGCATACATCATATAATCTACTTGTAAGGTGATAACTTATGAGACTTTTAAATTCAAGTCTAAACTTGTTTTTAAACTTCCTTTTTAACTTGTCCAGTATAGATTTTCAGAACCATAAAAAAATGCAAACTAGATAGGGTTACTTCTATTGAGAATGTTTTTGTTATTTAAAAGGACCTTCCTAGTTATGAGGCCAGCACAAACAATACAAGACTAATGAGAGCTTATTTAGAGTATGTATGGTTTTAACCAGGAGGCATGTCAATATGTAAGTACAGTCAAAACCAGAGACTTCTTGGTCATCTAGGCTGTCCCATTCACTAAACTTAAAAATAAAAAATACATGATTCAATCAATTTCAGATACTAGGGGAAGTTGAAGAGTTTAGGCTTAGTTTATCTCATGCAAAGAAAAACTAGCTTTAGAAATGAGTCAGTTCAAGCTTTAAAGTTTTTGGTGTTTGAACAATTTGTCTTTGAGTGATAGGAAGAAAAGGTTGGAAATATAAACTTGGTAATAAAGTATTGAAGGATGATATGATTGACCTCTGGAAGCCAAGATGCTTTATTATTTGTAGAGAAATCCATATTTTATTACAAACTTTGGAATGTTTTGTTTCATATCGTGGTGTGAGCTGTTTAGTTAAATCATTTTGAAAACTTATTGATAAGTATAACCATATCATTTGGATGTGAAGAAGTGCACTTAGCTGTAAATTTGATGCATTGGCTGCTGAAAAGATTATCTCAGTGTTCTAAATGGTCTTCCAAGACTTTGATTACTCTTGTGTTTGTTATTTAGTCATTGACTCCTTTATCATCATGATTTACTAGCATATAACTTAACACAAAAACAGTAATTACTTTTCATACAGCTAGGTTTTTAGGTTTGCTAACTAGCAGATAAACCTTTATCAGAAAAATGTTTAATCTTTGAAAATTATGTACTTTATATTTTATGATGTAATTTGCCTGATTAAATATAAACATTAATGGCTAAATTTCAAGGAGAAAATATGAGAACTTATGATAAAATACTCTTTCTCATCTTTCACATTTGCCAATGTTTTTCATCTACTTGTCTCATACAGGCAAATTTTTCAAATAGTTCTAAAATATGTTATTTTATACTAGCATCTTCATTTTTTAAGTTGTACAGCTTCCTACAAATTTCAAGATCTAAAATATATTTTCAAGACTTTTATAACAACAACAAAAAAAAAGATCTTAGGGCGAAAATACAAGATTTTACTATCTTACCTAAATTGTAAATAAAACAAGTAATAAAAAACATTCTGGAAATATAAAATGATGTAAAGATGGTAGTGCCCAAAAGAATGCAAACAAGAATATAGGGATGATACACTTGACTTTAATATTGCTGCAGCTGGAAGTTATATATTCCTGACTGTTGGTATGCAGTTTATCATAATATCATAGACATGTCAGGGTAGGCATCAATGTAGTGTAACTAAGATCCTGAGACTTATTACAAGGACAACCAAGTTGAGTCAAATGTCTTCATTATTACAGACTATTACATTTACAGACTCTCACTACAAGGTTGATCGAATTGAATGACCTCATAACCACTTTGTACTTGTGCATATTACAGTGTAACATTAAACTTTAATATTGAAAGTCATTTAGGGATGATCTAAGTACACTGAGTAGTCACAAGTAAATAGACACCTATTTTTTTTATCATTTAACTGATTTATGCTAACTAATTTGTGTTCACAG